TCACCAGGAGACAATAAGTTCTAGTTTCCACTTAGGCAGGAAAGCTGGCTGGATGACTTTGGGCTAATCACTAGAAGACAGTGAGTTCTAGTCCCACTTTAGACTTATATAAAAGCCAGCTGGATGACCTTGGGCCAATCCCTTTCTTTCAAGCAACTTCCCTCAAGAGGGTTGTCGTAGTAGGGAAAAAGTAAGAGGAGAAAAGTGTATTACATTCATTCACTGCCTTGAATTATCTGTAAAAATAAATTATTGGTAATAATAAACTTGGGATACAAATAAATCAATCAAATTTAGCTTAATAAGCTGTCAGTCCTCAAAGCCAACTAGCAACCTTCATTCTTCAGTCTTGCATTGTGTAGCATTGGTTTGAGCAGGCAGCTCGGCAGGTGTTAGATGCCAATCTTCACCCTCTTGGTCCGCTGGACAGAGTGACCGCACGGATCTGAATTTTGCCCTCTGGACTTTTCCGATACCCGAAACGCCCGACGGCATCGATTTTGGAAGCCCTCATCTGCTAATCAGTCGGTTGATTGATCGGTGAAGGAACCGGCCATCTGTCCCACTGTATTTAATGAAGTGTCTTCACATCCCAGATAGGAAATAATTGGATTGACAGACACCCACAAGTCCCTCATAAGTGTGTTTGTTAACTGATTAGAGGAGGGGGCCGTGGGGGGGGGAGTCTGTGGGAGCAACAGGGAAGGGAGTTGAAGGTGTTAATTGAGTTGATCCTATCATGTTTGACATTGAAGGCTTTGCATGGAAAACGGTGGACATATTTACCATTTCGGATTCTCCTGAGGCAGCTGTTCTTTTGAAGGCAGCAGGGGAAGTTGGAGTAGCACATGGATTATTATTGGGTCAGTCAGCGGGAGACGGGGAGTTCCAGTTCTGCTGTAAGCATGCAAGTTGGCTGGGGCATTTTAGGCCAATCACCAGGAGACAGTGAATTCTAGTCCTGTCTTAGGCATGAAAGCTGACTGGGAGACTTCAGGCCAATTACCAGGCGACAGAGAGTTCTAGTCCTGCTTTAGGCATGAAAGCCGGCCGGGTAACTTTGGTTCCATTGCCAGGTGATAGTGAGTTCTAGTTTCCCCTTAGGCAGGAAAGTTGTCTGGGTGACTTTGCGCCAATCACCAGGCGACGGTGAGTTCTAGTCCCGCCTTAGGCATGAAAAAAGACTGGGTAACTTTGGGCCAATCACCTTGAGACGGTGAGTTCTAGTCCCGCCTTAGGCATGAAAGCGGACTGGGTAACTTTGGGCCAATCATGAGACGGTGAGTTCTAGTCCCTCTTTAGGCATGAAGGTGGACTGGGTGACTTTAGGCCAATCACCAGGAGACGGTGAGTTCTAGTCCCGCCTTAGGCATGAAAACGGACTGGGTAACTTTGGGCCAATCACCTTGAGACGGTGAGTTCTAGTCCCGCCTTAGGCATGAAAGCGGACTGGGTAACTTTGGGCCAATCACCAGGAGACGGTGAGTTCTAGTCCCTCTTTAGGCATGAAAGTGGACTGGGTAACTTTGGGCCAATCACTAGGAGATGGTGAATTGTAGTCCTGCCTTAAGCACTGAAAGCCACGGTGTGACTTTGGGCCAATCACCAGGAGACTGTGAGTTCTAGTCCCACTTTAGACATGAAAGCCGGCAGGGTGACTTTGGGCCAGTTATTAGGCAACTATGAATTCTAGTTTCCCCTTAGGCAGGAAAGCCGGCTGGGAGACTTTGGCCCCATTACCAGACGATTGTGAGTTCTAGTTTCCCCTTAGGCAGGAAAGCCGGCAGGGTGACTTTGGACTAATCACCAGGAGACAGTGAATTCTAGTCCTACTTTTAGGCATGAAACCCAACTGAGCGATTTGTAGCAATAATATTTGTTGTGTTGAATTGAGACCATGAGAGTCGTTTAATCTAATGTATCAAAATGGAGTTTTCCAAGCAGGTTTGCTTACTCTGGGAGAACCTGCTTTGAAGGCCCCATGATCAATATTGATACCTGAAGTATAGTCTGGACACTCTTTGGAGTCAACAAATGTAGGAGTCCCTCCCTCCATTAAAATGCCAGCTTGGAATACACAGGAATATCACGGAGGTGTTCCTGAACGAACTGCGCTGTTGAAGGCTCTTCAAAGGCACTTCAGGGCTTGATTGTATTGATAGCGGAGAATATTTGTAGCTCGGGGTTGAACTGCGGCGTCCCTGGTGCTCTCTGAGCTTGGTTGGTTCCTTCAGACATTTTATTACCCATCTAGGCAACACTATCAGTGTGAGGGAGGGGAGGGTTTGCTATTCCCACTGATGATGTTGTGTAACTTTGAACGGTTGTTAGGAATATAAGTCACCTAATAGGTACTTGGGTTAGAAATATATAAACCAGGATAAACAGTTTAGTACTATATCTTTAAGGGAATACAAGAGCATGCAATTGGGTGTGGTTTCTCAAATGGCCATAAGATGGAGCCAGAAACCTGGATTGTCTTAGTCTTAGTCTCAGAAGAGAGTGCGTCTGAGTGAGTATCTGTTTCCTTCTGTTGCCGTTGCTCCATTTCTTCTAATTGACTGATATTACTGGATTTAATGTAAGTCTGATACTGAACTGTTTTTTGACACTGGACTTTGATATTTGGATTATCCCTGGATTGAAAAATGGACTGATTTTACTTGTGAATGACTTTTGGATTGCTTATCTTGGACGTTGCTTAAACCTTTCTGGAAGTAAAAACCTACATTTACTGTACAGTGTATCTATGTACTGTGTGTGTATTATTCAAACATGACTCTCAAATACGTCTCCCTGTATGCGCTCATTCTCCTAATGCGGAATTACCTCAACAACGGTCACTAAATGAATCATTGTAAGTCAAGGACCACCTGTATATGACAAACGGTTTGCATTTCGAAGAAACTCTTGTGATCTTAAGCAGCTGGGTTTACTCGCCATTCTCCGTCTTGACCTAGAATCACGTTTTTTACATTGTTCCCCAGACTCTGTTTTATTTTTGTGGGCTGCGATGTTTTATTGTTGTTAATAATGAGATTGTCAAAGTGGGGGGGACGACACACTCTTGTTAGAGATTGGGCTGAAAAGATAAACGGATTCCCCCAGCAATTGTTGCCTTGATACATAATCCTGTTATTGCCAAATTAATTCTACTGCATTCTTTTCAAAGAGCTCCTGGAAATGCTGTTCAGATTTTCTTGATCCTACAAAAACATTTTTCAATTATGAAAATTGTTTTCATAAGATTGCTGGGTCCTTCAACTCCTCCATTGCCAACTAAGCCTTTGTTCTGAGCCAGCTCCCCAAATACGGCAAACCTTCTGAAGGGAACTCAAAAGATTCCTTTATTAGGAAGGCCGGCAGCTCAGGCAAAAAGTTTCTCTTTCACCCCAGGCTAACAAGTCCGTCCGGCAGGTAGATGAATAGTTGTCTGTCACATCTATTCGTCTCCGTCCCCTGCCTTTTATCCCCAGAGCTAGAGTGGGGCTTCGCTAGTAGCGATGGCTCTTCCGTTCCAGGGACCAGCCCATAGATTTCCACTGCTCTCCTCTCCTCAGCAAAAAAGTTTCTCTCACCGCAAGCTAACAAGTCCGTCCAGCAGGTAGATGAATAGCTGTCTGTCACATCTATTCGTCTCCGTCCCCTGCCTTTTATCCCCAGAGCTAGAGTGGGGCTTTGCTAGTAGCGGTGGCTCTTCCGTTCCAGGGACCAGCCCATAGATTTCCACTGCTCTCCTCTCCTCGGCAAAAAGTTTCTCTCACCGCAGGCAAACAAGTCCGTCCGGCAGGGAGATGAATAGTTATCTGTCACATCTATTCGTCTCCATCTCCTGCCTTTTATCCCCAGAGCTCAGGTGGGGCTTCACGAGCAGCGGTGGCTCTTCTGTCCCGAGGACCGGCCTGTAGATTTCCACTGCTCTCCTCTCCTCTGCCTTCTGCGCATCCACACCTCAGGCATTGGACCCGTCTGTTCCTCCTCTTCCTCATCAGCCACCTCCAGACCTGGGGGCTGTGGACTCTCCCTCTGAGGGCTGATGGACAGCCCAGGCTCCGCCTCTCTCTCTCTCTCTGCCAGTTCTACTTCCTCTCCCCCCTCGGAGCTCCCAGGTTGCTGACCCTGACTCCCACGCCTCCTCCTCTTCCTTCTCCTCTGATTCGGCTGCTGGCAACAGCCTTCTCAACACATGCTTTAATTGGGCACGAGATAAAACAGATTCAGATGGGTTTCTGCTGGATATGGACAATATTCAAGGTTCAGATACTCCTCGACATAACGACCATTCGTTTTGTGACCATTCAAAGTTACGACGGCACTGAAAAATATGACTTATCACAGCAAGGCAGAGGAACAAGGGGAGCCTGTTCCCAGTGTGCGTGTGCACAGAGCTGCTAGAGGGTGGGAGCAGCTGAGACAAAAGGGGCGACTCGAGAGTAAGGCTGGGAGTTGATTGCCCCTCCCATAAGGGATAAAAGTAAGGCAAAGATGACGACACTTTTGCAGGAAGCAAAGTCGTTCGTTCGGTTCGGATTCATTCTTGAAGCTCTTTGTACTTCGGTTGTTCTTTTTTCATTTGACACTTCTGTTATTGGCAGCACTTCACAGGAAAGAAAGGTGGGTGCTTATCTCGAGGGACTGTTTGAGATTCATTCCTAGCTGGAAATGAAAATAATTCCCAGCATTGCCCTAAAATAAGACTTATTTTTAAAATAAGCGCGTGTGTAATTACGATCTAGGAAGCCTTGGTCAGAACAATACGAGTCGGTTGTCAAGCTTCCGAATGTTGATCCCGCAACCCCGGGAATGCTGCGATGGGTGTGTGAAAAACGGTCCCCAGTCAGTTTGTTCAGTGCCATCGTAACTCTGAAGGGTCCCTAAATGAGACTGTTGTAAGTCGAGGACTACCTGCCTCGGGTTGAAAATGGCAGGATTCATAGGCTTTAATCCTCTTCTGCTGTCGTAATGACGTACCTCCCTCTTTTCGTTCTACTGTATTTCAGGTTTATTCAAGAGATCGAACACGCCTTGGGGTTCAGTCCCGCTAAGCAATGCCCCCTCCGAGAATTCCTCACCATGTACATTAAGAACATCTTTCTCAACCAAGTCCTGGGAGAAATTAACAAGGAAATCGAGGGCGTCACCAAAATTACCGACCCCCTGAAGATCCTGGCCAACGCAGACACCATGAAAATGCTCGGTGTGCAACGGCCTCTCTTGCAGGTAAGATGGTTGGCGGGAAAGCGGTGGGGGGAAAAAAAAAACCTTCCCATTTTCCCAGAGATAGTCCTTGACTTATGGACGTTCATTTAAGGACCGTTTAAATTTACAGCAGGCCACCCAAAAGCCGCTTACGATCTGTTTTCAAAATTACGTTGGCTGCACAGTGGCACCCCATGGTCATCAAATAATATAAATTTAACACACACACACACACACACGCACGCACACACACAATTAGAAATGCAACAATAATTAGAGAGCCTGTTTCGTCTAATGGTTAAAGCACCAGGCTAGAAACCAGGAGAGGGTGAGTTCTAGTCCTGCCTTAAGAATGAAAGGCAGCTGGGTGTCTTTGGGCCAATCACCAGGGGACTGGGAATTATAGCCCTGCCTTATGAAATCTGACTGGATGACTTTGGGCCAATCACCAGGAGACTGGGAGTTCTAGTCCTGCCTTATGAAAGCTGATTGGGTGACTTTGGGCCAATCACCAGGAGATGGGGAGTTCTAGTCCTGCCTTAAGAATGAAAGGCAGCTGGGTGTCTTTGGGCCAATCACCAGGGGACTGGGAATTATAGCCCTGCCTTATGAAAGATGACTGGGTGACTTTGGGCCAATCACCAGGCGATGGGGAGTTGTAGTCCTGCCTTAAGAATGAAAGGCAGCTGGGTGTCTTTGGGCCAATGACCAGGAGATAGTGAGTTCTAGTCCCGCCTTAGGCATGAAAGCCAGCTGGGTGACCTTGGGCCAATCACCAAGAGACTCTTTGGGCCAATCACCAGGAGAGGGTGAGTTCTGAAATTGTGGTCGTAAGTTGAGAACTACCCGTACCAGGCACAGACCGATGAATTAACCAGAAGTTAGTTTCCAGGTTGATTAACTAATCAGGATCTACTTTTATACTGCTTCTACCCAACAGATTTAGGCAGTGGTAGGTAGCCCTCGACTTTCGACCAAAATGGAGCCCAAAATTTACGCTGCTAAGCAAGACAGTTGTTGAGAGAATTTTACCCCATTTTACAGCCTTTCTTGCCGCAGTTCAATGAATCACTGCAGCGTTAAATCAGGACCATGGTTGTTAAGTTGAATCTAGCTTTTCCCGTTGACTTTGCTCGTCATAAGTTCACGTGACTCCGGGGCATTGCAACCGTCATAGGTACATGCCAGTTGCCAAGCCTCTGGATTTTGATCACAGGACCAGGGGGCTGCTGCAGCGGTCGTAAGTGTGAAAAATGGTCGTAAGTCACTTTTATCAGCGCCATTGTAACTTCGACGATCCCGAAACGAACTGTTGTAAGTCAAGGATTACCTGCACCTTTATTTAAAAACAAAACAAGATCTGAATTCTCCATCTCGCATATTTAAATGGAGGC